TTATAAAATGACTAATGCGGTTCCCATCCAACAAACTTTATTTAATTAAATAACTTTTTGAATTGGGGTTTAAGTTGATTCAGTTAAACAATAGCTGTAACTCCTTTGGTTTCTAAAATTTCCCAGAAAACTTTACATTACTGTAAAGAGAATGAAATTATCTTTCAAAAGACGTATCACAGGTAAAAATGTGGTGAACATAAAATTTTGCGTAAGTAGAAAAAATTGCATTTAAAATTTTTTTCTTTCGTTATTTTTATATTTTGTTGCAAAATACAGGGTATCTTAAAAATAAGCGTCAAATATTTTAATCAGTCCAATATTTTTTCCAAAATTCTTGATTTTTAAGATTTTATAATTTTTTTGGTTACCTGTTCAGATAAGAATGAACAAAAGGAAGCACAAAAATGGGAACTAATTAGTGCTAGTAGTTGTTTAGACTAGCACAAAATTTTAAGGTAGCAAATCATTTCAAAAAATAGATACAAAAAATGGGCCTTTAGGAGAAAATTAGACAAAAGTTGTTACTTCTAATAAATTAAATACATATGTGGATAAAGTTTTGTACCTGTTTCGGGTCCTGTGTCACATTGAAAATAGATATTAGATATAAACGTTACCATTTCACTGTTATTTGATATTTAATTAAAGTGGCGTTGACAGTATCCTGGAAAATATCAAATATCTCCAAAACTAAACATGAAAGCAAGATATGCTGCTTTGACTACTCGTTCAAGTATGAACAAAAACTATCATCATATGCATTACCTAATCTATTTCAAATAGAGAAATATCAATTGCGAGCGTTAGAATGTATAAATTTTGGATTATAAATAACTTGATTTTTTTAAATGGAACCCTATGATAAATTTGACAGAAACAGTGTAAAATTGAATATTCTTTCGTAATTTTGATAAAGGTATGTTAGTATTTCTTAATTATAGCGGCGTTAAAAAATTAAGTATCACATAATAGTACTGTTTCCAATTCAAAATAGTAAGAATAATGCTTTCAATCCATATTTTGCAAATAAATGGATTGGATGAGGTTCATTAATTTGCTAGCTAGATCTTCCGATATAGCAAAACTTGATTTCCTTTATAATATTTTATTTAGTAAATAATTATTATCTATTAAAAGGCAAGCTTTTACATTACACCCGAAATTCTCTATAGAATTGATGAGAATTTTAGGAAAAGTTCCAATATAGGCTCAGCAAATGGTAAACATTTTAAAATATGAAAAATTTCGCTTAGTGCAACTTTTATTTGAAACAGTTTTTTGTATTATTATTATCAGAACAAAATACTAGCTATTTTCCTTTTATATGGTTTTTAATTAAAAAAAGTATATCGCTTTTAAAAAATACACTTTTCTAAAATTCCTTTTTTTTTTCTAAACTAAATTTAGACACAACTTTGGAGGCAACTTTAAGATTTGCTTCAATCAAGTCACTGATTAAATGTTCATTTTTATCTAAATAATAGAAGGAGGAAGTGAAAAAATATTACAAAACAGTAGACGCTAAAAGAAATCGTTTTCATAATCTTAAAATGACCTTCACCTCATACCGATTGGATTTTGGGAAGTAAAAAGACAACCAAATCCGATCTTCGGTAACACCCGAATGAGATTTACCTTATTTGACCACGCTTAGACCCAACTTTTATTCCAACGGCATTGAATGAATGAATATAAACATTAGGGCCGATTACGAAACCGTTATGGGATGGTAATTCAGTGGATCCCACGCGAACATGATGCATACTCGTCTATTACCCATAAAGTACCGCATTCACGCGATAGTAGTGGCCATCGTTTCATTAAATTAATTCTGTTATATCTATCATTCCACTTAATTTTCACTGGATTCCGGAGAATACAGATAAGCCAGGTTTGGGCATGCATCATTTAATTATGCTAATAACTCATATAAATGACGTATTTTGCAATTAAGGGGCTATTTATTTCGCCCAATATTCATAATACATCATAATGGTATTTTTCTACGCTTGTGATAAAGTCAAATTAATATCCTACAAAGATAAATACTTTGAATTTATAATGGATACAACTGCCTAAAAAAATTATTTACGGCCGAGATATACTGCTCGTGGTGCATCTAAAAATGTACATGGTGATTTATAATTTCCTTTATATTTCATTTGTTTGGCGGCCGATTACAGATTAAGTTGTGGACATATGGAAAAAAATCTCCCGGAACATACATACGTAGCTATAAATCGGTTGTTTATAGCTATTGCGTCGTTTTGTGCAGTCAGATATACATATACGTGATTTTACAAAAGTTTCAGTTTAACTACAATACCATAAATAATCTTTTGCTTCCTGCTATATTTTTTTTTATTGGTAGAGATTTTGAGAAAACTAGAATATTACGAAACCTCATTTTATTCACTGCAAAAAAGGTATCCTTTTGGTAAAAATGATTGAAATTTTTTACTAATTATAGGCGTATAGGAGTAATAAAAGATTTTGCTTCCTGATACCCAGTATACGGGGTGTTTAATCACGAACTCCATCGATGGATATCTGGGAAATCGCTCGAAGGATTTTTTTGAAATTGAAGTGGTGTGATACGGGCCCAGGGTCCTATTAAGATAAAATATTTTCAAGGTCATCGTACTTCCGGTTAAACCGGAAGTTGATACCAACTTTCTTATTTTAAATGGAACCCCCTATATATTATTGCTTATTTGAAAAGAGCATTTATTTTTAAGTTGAAAACATATAGCACACTCCATACTTGGGATTGACCGTTTCCGAGATATTTTGAGTTTTAGGCGAAATTGACAGATGCAGACTAATTTAGTTTTATCGGAAACACAGGTTTTTCCTGTTTTTATACAAGGTGGCCAAAAAAAATATGAAGTTCAGAAAATGTGGAAAACTCGAAATTTTTAAATGGACACCCTAAATTTTTTTTAACGTATTCACATTCTGCACTAAAATTGAGTGTAACTTTGTTAAAGTTTCCCTTTGCCTAAACCCAGTCGTTTTCATTTTATTTACGAATCAACATTTCCCTTTTCCTAAAATGGTGTTTCCATTTGTTTCGCACATTTTAGGTTGGCCGTGACAGGTAACTAACAATCGTCACGACAACTGTCATAGGTTTTTAACTGTCAAATTTATTTTAATAAATGTTCAAAATGCCTTCTTTCAACTTCTAAACATTTTTCACACCTTCGGAATAGTTCCTTGTGGGTCGCTACTCTAATAGAATCCGGTGAAAGATTACCGAGTTCGGTTAAGCTCTATCACGTCAGGTTCAAGGTCATTTGAAGGCCAAACTGAGAAAATATGGCTGAAAAAAACAAACAGGTGTTCAGGTAAAAAAGCAGACATAAACAAACAAAAAAGGTAAAATTTTTCAATTTTTTTTTTCACTTCCTATTCTTACGTTAACCTTCAAACGACCTTGAACATGAGGTGATAGAGTTCAACCGACATAGGATTCAGCGACTCAAAAAACCAATGTATGAGTTTTTTCAGATTTTTCAACTACCGTTTCTTAGCTTGACCTTCAAATAACCTTGAACCTGACGTGATACATCTTAACCGACCTTGCATCGGAATCAGGTACAGTGCGGTGTTATTTTTTTCAAACTAAAAGTTGACCTATGTAATCTACGAATTTATTCCAGTTCTATTATCAATATTTTTAGTAAAACATTGCAACAGTCTGTATTCTTGAATGTGTTCTAGTTTCTTTTTTAAGCTTTATGTCAATATTTTTCAATTTCCTTGGCACTCCACCAAGTCAATGTTAAGAATAATTTGGGTTTTGATTTTTCTAAAATGTCGATCGATTTTTGACAAAAACACGTTTCTTGGTGTAGATGAATACATTTATTTAAACAATCTACGAATTCCATTGTAGTTCTACTACTCGTATTTTCAAGAGAAAAAATAAATAAGGGATATTTTGAAACAACAAAACTTCAGAGGTTTCAAACTTTTCATGCAATAAGTAAATTATTTTGTTTAAGGATCTAGGTGTGGAGCTAGAAAGCACTTGGAGGCGTACAAGGGCTATTAACACAATGAACACATAAATATCTTTGATAGAGGGTTTCGTATATGAGTTTTAGTGGGTTTCAAACGGATCCTGTATCTATTTAATTCACTTTTTACCTTACGAAGCGCCAGAAAATTTTGTAGAGTTACACAATCCAATTTCTCTCGGTTTACCTACAAATCCATCACGACAGTCTCACTCTCGCCACGAAAACGGCGATTCCAGTTCCAAGTTTAGACATAAATAATTTAGTTATGCTAATGCCTTGGGACAAATTACACACAAACAATAATTACAGTCACTGAAAATAAAGAATATCCTCGGTGATATAATACTCGTTATCTTAATTCAAGCTAATTAGGTGCATATTAATTATTCCGTTCTATCTTTTTCAGGTGTAGTTTAATGGACCGATCTCGAATTCTTCGTGGTTGTGATTGATTACGGGGTCTTTGTTTAATTAGTCGTGAAAATATCCTAAGGAGCTGAAGATGAAATGGAAAGTTTTCATTTGGTTCGGTTAACAGCGAAGATTTGGCCGAATTCCTTTTCTATCAGCAATGTGAGACTGAGAAATATTAGACTATGAAATATATTAATCATATACAGGGTGTCTGGGGAGAGGGTGGGAAATCTTGAAGCAGGAGATACTGGTGGCCAAATGTTTCTGGTTTCAATGATACAGGGCGTTCAATGTCTTAATTTTATTTTGAAATTTCTCAATAATTTCGAAAATTGTCAGTACGAACAAAAAAATTGGCACAATTATGTTTTTTGACATGATAAATAAGAACTTTTAACTAATTTTGGCGTTGCTTGTATAGAGCGTCAGTTATGCCCTATTCCTTTGATATTTGGGGGAAATTTTGTTTCGCCTTTAGGATCACGGACATTGCGTATTGAAAATATGAAAGAACGTCGAACGAATGTTTGTATTTAATTGTTCACTAGACATTACCTGGAGTGGTCCAAATCCCTTTTGTTTCCTAAGAGTAGGCTGGTGTAGTATGATGGAAGCTTAAGTTTGACTAGTTGGCCTAGAATTTCCTGAGCTTCGTGAAAACTGTGTCTGTCCACCACGGAATATACTATTACAAAAGCTTCACCCCACCTTATGTGTTCATACAGACAACCGTTCTTCTGCAACAAAAAAATAATAATAATTTATATTGTCAAGTAAACTTTAAAGAATTAATCGAACTACCAACTTTTTTATTATTACATAACCTATAAATGTGAATGTAAATAACTAGAATGTTAAAACCGATTAGCTTTTGTTTTCATCTAGTAGCGTCGTCGAACCTAACCTCCAATATATTCTAATTTGAGGTTTTGGTTTAATTTATTCAATATTATTGGTATATATTGAGAAGTAGGTACACTTAATGAACTTTACGTCACTCACAACAGAAAATTCAATACAGTGTTATCTTGACATTTCTATGTGTAATGTGATAATGCGGTATTCGTGATAGTGACAATGTAACTTCAAATTTTCGAAAATATATTTTGGTTTTGAATCTTTTAACTCATAAGAACTGTGTTAGATTAGAGTTGTCACTGTTCGCTGTTCAATTAGTGTGTAATTTTAATCAAGTGAATTCTGCAATAGACTTTAGTATCGTTAAATTCTTCTAACAGCAGAAGGAATGATCCAAAAATCCATTAGTGTAAATTGGTGAAATAGAACATGTAAATAGCAAAAGGTGAGTGTATATATCAGTTTTAACTATTTGTTATCATATAAACATTTTTTTTACTACAGTCTAGTCTGAAGGTAACCAAATTCACTTTGTAGGCCAGAAAATATAGAGTTGGACGCGTCTTTTTATTTCGGCAAGCGGAATTTATCACTATAGATGCTAAATATTATGTACAATAACATATTAGTTTCCAGAGTCATAAAAATGGAGGGTTAATTGTATAAATTTTACGTAAATTCATGTTTTTCGCTTATAACTGTTTTCCGTTAATTTCCACGAGAAAACAGTAAAGTACTTTTTTTTTCGTATTCAAAACACCTTCAAAACTAGCTAGACATAAACTGCGTAATTATTACCAGAACGTTTTGGCATCGCATCCCCTCATTCCTTATCACTGTCTAATGACTCACACGAAATCTGGAATCGGTAAGTTGAATAGTGTACAAGTTATGGCCTTATATAAACAAATTAACTAATTATTAGTCTGGACGATCCCGGGGATCTTCCACAATCGCACTGATTTTTTTCATGGTAGATTTCATAATAATACATTGAAATCTATAATTTTTTTTTAAATTTCAAATTTGCAACCTAGAATTTTTTTTATTCTTTAGCCTTAGTTGCAAAATGAAATATACGACGTACGAGCGTGATATAGTTATGTATTATTACATATTCGGAAAGCTTATGAAAATAGCTTTAAGTTAAAAAAAGATCACCAAGATTCGTTGAAAAACAACGGAGTTACAGATTGTCAAATATATTATTTTCAGGCGAATTTCGTTTATTTAATGGCAGGACTATGAATATTATCGTCATTTTCTTCGGACTCACTGTCGTTTCCTTCCCCCACCCTTTCGCTGCGCCACGGCTCGCCGAAAATCAAACGACCCACTGACTTTTGACAATATTTCTTATGTACTTAACATACTACCACAAATAAAATATTTTTACCTGGGAAAGTACTCGGGTTGCCCGTTATGACAGTTTTTTTTTTGCTGCTAGCTAATAGCTTTATTACTTGACAATCAATCTACGAGGCTCTTCACAAAATCTTTTCAAAACTTCTTGTACGATTTCTTTTTTTTTTCTTTAACAATTTTCCGGTGAACGCTTAGCATACATAAACCGTTTAAATGGTTTTCGGTCATCGTAGACCGCAACCACGTTGTTACACGTCGCAAGGTCAAAATAGACCTTTCTATATTGCTCGTTGTACACGGCTGTGACAATGAAATAATGATAGCTTTTCTTATAGCCGGGAAGAAGGTGTCCGCCTCCTTTAACACATCTGTAAAGTCTAATTTTTCTATATCTTCACTTTGTTTACCTTTATCTTTCCACAATTTATACCATAATTCCGCTTCATGTTCAAAAAGAGGAAGATCATAGTACTGGCAGAAATCTTGTGATTTTTCTTTAAAATCAACCAGTGTCATATTTAACATTGAACTGGGATGTAGCCACATTAAACTAAAAGCTGGTAAATATTCGTTAGAAAAACGCTATTCAAGTGCGGATATCAGTGAATCTAAATAAGGAATGATAACTGATCGCTTCCAAAAATCGCATACACTCTCAGCAGTACAAATTTAAATAGGACAATAAAAAACAATTAACATTTCAGTTATTGCCACTGCCTCAAATGTCAATTGAATAATTTATACTCTTGAAGTTAAATCATTAAAGTATTTTTGACAATATATAGTCATTTATTTACATATTAGTGGTTTTTTAATTCTGGCTAGACTTTACATTCTAATTACATACAACTCCTATGGACAGTTACGCAATACGTGTGAATTATGTACTCGTTAATGCATTTAAAACTCCCGCCACTAATCCGAATTCCGCAACAACCAATAACAGCTCACGATTTAGTCTAATGCTTCTAGCGTTCTGTGTTTCAAAATATGCGCTCCGCTCCTATGCCTATTTTAGTAAGGGTTCTTTACTACTTTTTTAAAGTACCTCGTTACGCCCATGTCACTAAGTTTAGTTATTTGTAATAAAGTATTTTTTTATATACAAGGTGAAACTAAAATAACTTCCTAAGCTTTAATGACGGAAGTATATCGCAAATTAAGAAAAACATATTCATAATTTGTGTTTTTCCTTAAATACCAAAACGATATTTATTACATTGTCTTACAAAGTTTATCTGCAATCACGCAAATTCTCGTAAGAAATGGTCAAATTTTTCGTGAATATTTGTCGAGCAATTTTCGATTATTTTTGCAAATATTGTTCTTAATATTCAGTACCTCTAAAAAAGCTTTTGCCAAGTATTACTGAAGTATTTATAATGTACCTAGGTAAGGCTTTTATTGAAGTTTTAATGAGAAAGTTGTTTATGCTTTATAGTGAAACGAGTAGTGGAATAAATATGAACACTCGAGATGATTACAAGGTTGATTATGTTTAAAATCGACTGGTGCAAAATCAATAATAGTAAATACTAGATGATTAACCATCTTTGTCCGTCCTCAGAACCATGAAGGTTTCACGGCGCATTACTGCTCTCCGGGGTGGGTACTTCAGTGCACCATACTGGCCTCCAGATTAATTAAAACGATAAATAAACGCGTAAAAATCTGCGAGCCCGTAACGACTGGAGAAATAAAATTACTCTAAGTACCTCCAAGTCTATCGATTTCCGAGAAACTCCAAGGGTTGACTGATTCACGCTGGTTTGATGTTATCCATCATGGGTGGAATGCAGCGTCGTGTACGATGGCGGGCAATAAATTTAATGAAAGTCTTTAACTTTTACTGCTCGGAGAAACGGCGTCACGGACGGTCCAACACCAATTAAAGTTTAATTTTTCGACCCCCACCGTCTCATGACACCTGGAAGAGACAATGAGTAAAAATAACGCCGATGTCCTTGAATTGGAGACAGGGCCGGCCTCAGGCGATTTGACGGCCTGGACAAAATATGATAGTCGTTCCCATAAGTGAAATAGGATATATAAAATATTATATTAATAGTATAATTACTTTTCTTGTTCATAGAGTTTTATTGAAATTATCTCAAATGATATCAAAGTGGGGGAATAATAATGTCTTCACTGGGCGCTACAAAATTAGTGATTTTATTACTTCTACATCGACTACTATGTCGGGTCTTATTATCTAAGTCAGTAGTGCCAACAATGACCAATAGCAATCACTTGTTTCTAATAAAACATGTAATTTATTTGAAATAACTAGATATTTTTTGTGAATATTAACGTAGACATTAATAATGGAAAAGAATATCAGATGAGTGACCACCTCTTGCTATTGTATAAGCTTTGAATCTTTTAGCAAAATTTTCCATCACGTTATTCAGTGATTCAATTTGAGTGATTTGCTCAATTATGTTTTCTTTCAGACGTTGAATGGTTTGAGGATTGTCAGCATAACTTTGCTCTTCAAAAAAGAAATCTAATGGTCATAGATCGCATGATCTTGATGACCATTTAACATCTCTTCGAGAAATTATTCGATTACCAAATTTCTGTTTCTAAATATCGATTGTTTCTGTTGCTATATGACATGTTGGCTCGTTCTCTTGAATCGAATTCACAATGTTTCCAACTTCATTTTAGAAGAAATATGGACCAATCACTCCACCAGACCAAAAACCACACCAAAAAGTTACGTTTTGTGGATGCACTGGCTGTTCCAAAATTACTCGTGGGTTTGTTTTTTACATTCCACCAATTTCAAAATGAGCTTCATAAAGGTCAAACATATTATTCATTGTGCATAGTTACAATGGCAATATACAAACCTATATACAAAAGGACTAGACCACAGATAACTGATGATTAGCCTACCCCTCAGAAAGTCACACATAATAACAAGTCTACATATTAAAAGCAATATAATTATAAAGAGCTATTAAAACGATGTAAAAAAACAATATAATTTATAAAAATACATACACAACACTCATACATGCCTATGCAAATACACATACAAATACATAGTATACTCAGACACACACTCATACACACACGCATATTATATTAAAATAACTAAAAAACTAAAAAACTGAAAAAACTAGAAAACAGCAGCATTTGTGGAGTTATCGTTTTTCATGACCAACTCACGAATGCGTTGCTTAATTAGAGATGCATTATGCAGTGTTAAGTCCTCAGGCACCAGTACATTATTTAATACCGTAGCTGCTAAATAAGTAAATGAACATCTAAAATACTCAGTTCGATGACGCTCTATTTGCAAATCATGTAAATTACGAAGCTGACGATCATGTACATTGTACATCATGCCGCCAAACCAACTTCTCATAAAGATAGTCAGGAGTTGTATTAACAGTATATTATTTACAAAAACACAAAAATGAACATAGCGTCTTTCACTGAGTCTTAATTTACTAAACTGTCTAATAAAAGGAGTAACAAGGTGAATAAAGGGTATATATATATG